TTTGAAGACAACTTGTGTTAGTTACTTTTCTCCGTTGTTGAGACAAAATACCTGACACCAAAAGTTAAAAGATGAAAGGTTTATGTGTTCAATCCCCGGTAATGAAGCGGGGTGGGGAAGATGGAAGGTTTACAGTTCATAGAGGTTTCAGACCATAATTAGCTGGCTCCAAGGCAGGGTGGCAATAGTTCATGTCAGTGGAAGACAGCAAAAGCAATAAGGGAACCTTAACACCATCTTTCTGCCCCTTTTATCTTATCCAGACTACTGGGATTAGGGCACTGCCAAACCAATCAGTGTTCTGGTTTAGTAATCACATGTGCTTAATCCCAGCACCACACACTCTAGATTCAGCCACCTCTGACCGAATGAGGCTTTGAGGGCACATCTGGACCCAAACCATAACACAGCTCCTGACTCCTTTTCTGGGTCCTTCCCAGCTTGGCTACACTGAGTAAAGCTCCTGTCCTGCTCCACCTCTGCTCTCCTTGACTGGCATTTTGTGATGAGTGGCCTAGCCAGGTTTGTTGGATGCTTTCACTCTAATACTCTGGTAGTAAAAGCACTCACACAAGCAGTGCATCCCATTTCTCCATTGTTCACAAGGTAAACCCATATCCAGAAGTTAAATTTAGGTTAGTACTAGGAAAACACCTGGTTGGCTGAGGCAGGAGGATCACAAGTTGGAGCCCAGTCTGAACAAGTTAGTGACTTAGCAAGATCTTCTCTCCAAATATAAGCAGCTCACTGTGAAGGTCCTGGGTTCAATCCCCAGTGATAAAAACAGGGGAAAAAAAATTCCCAAGTGTTATGGAATTACATCTCTCTACCCAAAGCCTCATGTGCTCATAGGTACGGAGTTCTGAAGGTGGCTAGATTAGGTTGCCGTGAATGTGGATCAAGGGTGTGATACCAGAATTAAGGGTGTAGCTAAAGGAAGCCCCACCCTGGGTGTGGGTAGCATCAATCAACAGGCTTGTAGCCTGGATGGGATATAAAGGGAGAGAGGGAAGGCAGGCTTGCTGCCTTTCTGCCTGTCACGCCATGGACTGTTTCTCCTCTACAGTACCCCTCTGCCATGCCACCCTGCTTTGCAACTAGCCAAGTATGGCATGAAAGCTTTACAAACTGAGCTGAAACAAACCTTTCCTTCTTTAACTCTGGATGTTGGGTATTTTGTCTCAGTAGTGAGAAAAGTAACTAAAACACCAAGCTCTGGTACAGTCAGGCTCTCCCAGTTTGGGAGTTACGTGCCCTGGGCTGGGGCAGCCCCTCATGGTGCAGCACAGGGCCTCTGAGCAGCAACTACACGAGCCCCACTCTCACCTCTCCCCAGGCTCCCACGCCCCCAGTGAGGAAACTCCACAAGATCCAGGAGATTTTTAGCTTTCCTTGGAGTAGTGGGGATGAAACCTAGCACCTCTCCCATGTTAGACAAGTGCTCTACCACTGAGCCGCAGCCCAGGGCAATTCCACCAGACTGAGATTGAGGTTCTGGCTCAACTGAGCGTCCAAATTCATTCTGTAAATCCAGGAAACAGAAATCCTGCTCTCCACAGACTTTCTCAAAATGCACAAATGCGTCTATATTATAGATGTAATACCGAAACAGATCTAAAAACAGGCCCAAGGAAACCACTATTAAAACCTCAAAAAGGTTCCGGCTATGGTGGCAGATGCCTGTAATCACAACACTCTGGAGGCTGAGGCAAGACGACTGCTTCCAGTTCAAGGCCAGGATGGACTTCATAGTAAGTTCAAGGGTAGCTTGAATTACACAGTGAGACCCTGTCTTAAAAAAGCAAAAAGCCCAACAAAACAAAATAAAACCTCAAAAAGGTGGTGCATGCCTAAAGTTCCAGTTACTCAGGGGGCCGGGGCAGGAGGGTCAAGGCCTGTTTGGGCAACAAAGCAACCCCAAAGCCTCAGAAAGGGCTTCATCCTCTCACACTTTCCAGCTACATGTACACGTGGATCTCCAGCTACCAGTGTTCAGCAGCTTCCTGCAGTACATGGGCTCTTCTGTGATGGGCTTTGAGTGCTGAGACACCTTCAGGGGAGGCTCCCCAGGGAGAACCAACAGGGCCTTCAATTACTTCCCTTTATAGGCTCAAAGTGTAGCCTTAGCTGGGTCTGGTGGCTCATGCCTAATCCTAGCACTCTGGAAGGCTGAGTCAGGAAGACCACAAATTCAAGCCTAGCCTGGGCTACCTAGAGCCTGAATGAGACCTACTCTCAAAATTAAAAGTAAAAGGGCTGAGTTTGAGCTCAGTGTGAAGGCCTGGGGTGGGAGTGGGGAAGAAACTCACACATTTATATGCTTTTAGAAAATGAAGATGTTAATTAAAGATCTCCATTGCAAAAAGTGGTTTGCTAAACTATTTCTTAAAGTATCCATCATATTTGAATGTTTACAGATCTAATCCATGGTAGACTTGTACCAAAATAAAAGGGAGTATAGCCTAAGTGATGGAGTGTGTACTTGGCATGCAAGAGGCCCTGTGTTCAATCCCTAGCACTCAATAATAAAATAAAATAAAATAAAATAAAACAAAAAGCAGCAAGTCCCTGACTTATGAACATTCAAATCGGAACTTTATTGTTTTAAAAATTATTTTAATTTAAATTTAATTTTAATTAATTAATTAATTTATTTTTCCTGTACTAGGGATTGAACTTAGGACTTTGCGCTTGCCAGGCAGGCAGGGCACTGCTGAGGTACATTCCTGGCCCTTTAATTTTTAAAAAATTTTTAAATTTTTAAATTTTTTGGTACCAGTGATCGAACTTGGGACCTTGCGCTTGGGAGGGAGGCGGTGGAACCACTTCCCTAAATCCCTGGCCCCCCTTTAATTTTTATGATAAGGTAATACAAATAGGCATTAATAAAGAAAATATAAAAGCTGTTCTATGGAAAGAATAATTTTAAATAACAAATAATTAGAGAATAACAATAACAATGGTAAATACACTGTGTATCATGATCTTAAAAGAATATATTTTCATTTGCTAATCTATTTCTCAACTCATTTTCTTTTTTCTTTTTTTGGTACTGGGGACTGAACTTTGGACCTTGCACTTGTGAGGCTGGTGTGGCGCTAAACCCCTGGCCCTCTCAACTCATTTTCTAATAATAGTATACCTTTTTTTGCATAAAGCATTTTAATTATTAATAAAGTATCTCACACTCAGTATAATTTTGAACAATTTCTTCCAAGTTCACAATATCTATTATACTCTTTGGTCCTCATTTACACTTTTAGTTTCTCACACCAGAGAGACAATGTGATATTTACATGTGTTTGATTTATTCTAATTGCAAACTTTAACAGATATAAATGGACCTTGCATTACAAACATGTGAACAAATCATGGAAGTAGCTCATGAGTCTGCTGGACATTGTCACAGTTGTGTTGCTATGTACCGATATGTACAAGTAAATATAGTTTACTTATAATATTTTTCTGTGTGAATTTGGTTTTTTAATGTTGGACTTACAAACAAATCCAATTTACCACCATTCAACCAAACTGGTTAGTAAGCTGCGGGACTTACTGTATCAGATTCTGGGAACCTACATGCTAAGAAGAACAAATGGAAACATGAATTTTTAATAAATGCAGTGTAATACTGAAACTTTTTTTATGTATTTATTTTCAGGTCTGGTATTGAAGCCAGGGTTGTGCATAAAATAGGCAAGTGCGCTACCACTAAGCTACCTCCCTATACCTGGAATGTTATTGTTCTGTAGATTCACCTCTTGGGATCTATTTCACACTGTCTCCCCAAGCTCTACTCACTCCATACGTTTTACAAATTGAACAAATTTTACACTGAACAAAATGAGACTCAAGAGAATAAATATTTCTAAGGTCACAAAGCCAAGCGAAGAGTGGTGCCGACCTAGAGCTGTTCTCACACATCATCTAAGGAAAGTCTGCAGAGGAACTTCAGGCCAAAGAAGTTCCTCAGGATGTCTGCCCAGGAAAGAAACAGAGAGGCACAAAGGTACATACAAAGGTGCTTGAGATGCTCATTTTCTGCTTCTCTCTCAGAAAAAATTTCCATAAGCTGGAAATGAATCTTTCAAAAAGAGATCCGGGGCGGATAGCTCAGGGGTTTCGCCGCCTGCTGCACAAGCACAAGGACCCCAGTTCGATCCTCGGTACGCCCCCCCCCCCCCCAAAGAGAGATATCTATGGCTCTGTGGAAAATGGCTATTAAAATACTGCCAGTAGCTAGGTGTGGTGGCACATGCTTGTCATCCCAGCTCTCAGGCAGGAGGACTGCCACAAGTTTGAGGCTGGCCTGGGCTACACAGTGAGACCTTGTCTCAGAAACAAAACAACAAAATCCCCTCCAACAAAAACCAAAATAATAAAATACTGAGAATACACGGTTTCTCTTATATGACAAACTCAAAGTATAAATAGAGAGCAAAATAAAAGTCAGATAATAGCAAACAGGAAGACAGATCCTTTGCAAATGGGAAGGAGACCTAGGGATGAAGGCTGGGGAAAGAAAGGAGAGGAGGGGAAGACGTTAAACGAATTACGATGTGTCACGCACATGCACCAGCTCCCCACCACGAATGTAATCAGTAGGTACCGCAAACACGTACTAAGAAAAATAAAATAAAATACTGCGAGTGTTTCAAATGCACCACGGAGGGCTCACATTTGGAACTGCAGGGAAGACGCGGGTGGGGGCCTCGGTTGCTCCTGGGGACAGTGCAGGGACCGGGGACTCGACGCGCGCCGGGTCCCCGCCACCTCCCGCCGCCCGCACAGGCTGGGGACACGGGCGCTGCGGCGGAGCTGCCCAGAGAGGGCTCCGGACCGGGCCGCGTCGACAGGCAGGGACCGACAGGAACCGGGTTCCAGTGCCCGCCCAGCCCCGTCCACGGCCAGACGGGTCCAGAATAGAGAGCGACCCTGGCAGCGGACTCCGGGAACCGGCACCCGCTGGTGGGCTCCGGGATGCCGGGGCCGGAACTCACCATTTCCTGGCTCTTGAGACCTCCTCACAGGTTTGGCCCGGGCGAAGGAGACTAAGAGCCGCCACCGGAGGGAGTTAAAGGGCAACCGGAGACTGGGAGCCGGCGGCGGCGGAAGCGCATGGTGACGTCACGCGCTCTTAGTAGCGTGATCACATTCACCTTCCGACGGCGCTCTAGAGAGCCCGCCCTCCTTTTTCTGATTGACAGCCCGGTAGGTAGTGTGGTTGAGCGGACATAGCTGAACCTCTGCCTTCTACGTGGCAGCGAGTGTTCTGGACCCAGGGTCGGCCTGCTGTCTCCCTTAGCTGCTTCTTTTTTTTTTTTTTTTTTGTACTGGGGATCGAACTCGGGTCTTTGCGCTTGCGGGGCAGGCGGCAGAATCATTGAGCTAAAGCCCCGGCCCACCCTTAGCTGCTTCTGTAGGGGGCCCCAGGCGTTCGCAGGAAATTCGAGGTTCAGTTTCCGGATGGAGCGACCCATTGGGAAGAAAGGGCAGAGCAAGAAGGTTGCCCAGGCCAGGCCACTCTAGAGTAAGAGGATTGCATGCCCTCCACGGATCAGGGATGGGAATAACGCTGCGAGGCTATTCCGGGAGTTGTGACCCTTGTTTACAAACAGATGCTTAGAAATTACCTCTTCATAGCCAGGGCTGGTGGCGCTCGCCTGGAACCCCATAAGTCTGCGAGGCAGAAGCAGGAGGATCACAAGTTTGAGCCCAGCCTGCGGAATTTAGTGATCCACTGAGCTACATCCCCGACCCTACAAATCATACTTTTAATGAGCAACAGGTTTAGGGCCCCAGAGTTTCTTTGTTCTTTTTTTCTTAAATTTAAATTTAATTTTTTTTTTTTTTTTGTGGTGGTACCAGAGATTGAACTCAGGACCTTGCGCTTGCAAGGCAGGCGCAGCGCCACTGAGCTAAATCTCCAGCTCCTAAATTTAAATTTTTTAAAGACACAATCTTACTGTGTAATTCCAGCTGGCTTTGAACTCACTATGTAGTCCAGGCTGGCTTTGAATTTGCAGTGATCCTTCTGTCTCAGCCTCCTGAATGTTAGGATTACATGTGTAATCCCACCACACCTAGTTTCTTGTTCTCATAGTGGTCTCTAACAATGTGATGACTATGTCAGTAACTTTTCTCTAAACTGGGAAGAACTCCACAATCTTCTGATATATACTATATTCCACCCAGTCTCTAGTGGTAGCAGAATTATAATGTAAAATGCATGAGACAATTTAGACAGAGATCTGTGGAATAGAGCTGAAATTCTAGGTATAAGCTATGGCAGCTGGGTAGCTGGATACAAAATAATGAACTTAATTGAGAAAATGAAACCACAATAATGAAGTTGGACCTCAACCCATGTACCATAATTTACTAAAATCGAAGGCCTAAACTTAGGAGGCCAAATGATAATACTTTCAGAGAAAACAAAGGAATCTATTCATGACTTGGGAGAAGGCAAGAAATGCTTACATATGACACCAAAAGGGAAATCAGCAAAAGAAAAATAGATATTTTGGATGCTGTCAAAATTAATCAGTTAAAAAATTATTTACCTTTTATTTTTTCAATTTTTACCTTTTATTAATAGATCTTTTGCGGTACATAATGATTACATTTCCCGTGGGAGTTGATACATGTACATAACGCCTTAATTCTTTTTCTTCATTTCCTAAAATCAGTAACTTTTGTATTTCAAAGAAAGTGAAACACCAGCTGGGTCCTTGTGCAGTGTTGGTGGGAATGGAAAAAACTGCAGCCACTAGGGAAGAGACCATGGTGGTGGCTCGAAAACAAAAGAAAGTGTGTAATCCCAGGACACCTCTAATACCAGCACTATGGGAGGCTGAGGCAGGAGGATTGCAAATTGAGCCCAGCTTGGACAATTTAGCAATTTAGCAAGACCTTGTCTGTTAAAAAAAGGGGTGGGAGCTAGGATTGTAGCTCAGTGTGAAGAAGCTGGATTCAGTCTCCAGTTTGGGCAGGAGGGAAGGGGGAGACACGATTAAGAAGAGCCGCGCAGGATGGGCATTATTGTGAGACTTATCTAAAAATATGAAAAATGTAGAGCTGAGAGTAGAGCTGAGCGCTAGAGCACTTGTTTGAGCTCCTTGATCTGATATCCAGCACTGCAAATAAATTCAAAATAAAAATAAAGTAACCAAAGGATCAAACCCACTTCTGAGTAACCCAAAAGAACTTAAAGAAGTAACTCAAACCAGGATTTGTTCCCCCATGTTCATGGCAGCATTATTCATAAGAGCCAAAAGGTAAAAGCACACTATGGGTCTCATCAGGGTCTAAATGGGTCAAAACGATTCATATAGAATACTCAGTTTTACTATATGTGTTACCAAAGTGAGTACTAGAATACTTAGTTTTTTTTGGTATTGGGGATCAAACTTGGGTCCTTGTGGTTGTGAGGCAGGCAGCGGAACCACTGAGCTAAATCCCCGGCCCTAGAATACTCTTTTTAAAAAGGAATACTGTGTATTTTGTCAGGCCTGGTGGTGCACACCCATGGTTTGGAAGTTCGAGGCAGCCTGGGGAATTTAGGGAGACACCGTGTCAAAATAAAAAATAAAGAGTTGGAGAGCTGGAGATTTAGCTCAGTGGTTCTGTTGTCTGCCTTGAAAGCGCAAGGTCCAGAGTTCAATCCCGGGTACCAAAAAACAAAACAAAACAAAACAAAAGAGTTGGAGAATGTAGCTCAATCAGTGGTAGAGCAGGTGTGTAGCATGGTTCCACCCACTGCAGAGAGGAAGGAAAGAAAGATATGTGTTCTGACCCATGTGATAACATGGTGAAGTGTCAAGGGAAACCAGCCAGTCAGAAAAGGGGACATGCTGTGTCCTTGTGCTTCTAGGAGCTCACATAGACACATTTCGTGTCAGAGAGTGACATGGTGGTGCAGGAGATTAGGGAAGTGAAATGAAAAAACAAAAGACAAAGCAGAGACTAACAATCTCAAAGCTTGACAGAGACTGACTGTCTCAAGACTTGCCCCTCCTGCTAAACCCATGAAGGTCACTGTGCCCGAAATATGAACTGCTGAAACACAGTGGCCTGTACCTCCCTGTGTCTTAGGAAGTGCTTTTTTGGGTTTTTTTTTTTTTTTGGTATGGAGAGATCGAACTTGGGACCTTGTACTTTTGAGTCAGGTGGTGGAACCACTGAGCTAAATCCCCAGCCCACCTCCCAATATTGAAAGATAAACAGTAAAAGCAACATCTGCCTATACCTCCCTACCTCTCTGCTAAATTCTGCTTCTATAAAATTCTGCTTGCTTCCCTGCCCTGTCTAAAGAGCAATATAAAACTGAAAACAATTTAGAATTGGGGCTCAGACTCTCGAAGGTGACTTCCACTGAGCCCACTAGCTAATAAACCTGCCTTTCCTTTCAATTCTCTGAGTGCCACTCTCTTCCTTGGTCTGCCTGCCCTTCGAGTGCCGAGTGCCATAACAGGAGCATGGTACCCTCGCCCCGGATTTTTGAGATGCTCAGGATAAAGTCAGGAGCCCACGCAAGGAGGCGAGCGCTAGCACTGAGGCGCAGCCACAAGTGGCCAGTTTCTACACAAGTTTGGGGGCTCAAGGCTTGCCATTCTCACAATATGAATGTACTTAACCGTAAGAAAAGGACAATTAAAAGTGTCTTCGGGGTCAGTAGTACAGCAAGTAGGTATCTCACACAGACACACACACTCACACACACCCCTCTAGGGGCGAGAATCTTTGAACTGCAAACGATTTGGCTGGGAAAATCCCACCCAGAATCTAATTCAAATTCACCGCGTCACTCAGGGGCTAAGAGGCAGGGCCATGGAATCTGTCCAATCAGCACCGGGGGTAGATGAATTTGGCGGACACACTGAGCCTGCGCTGTGGACGTGGCTGGTCCTTGTAACCGCAGGAGACTGGGTCTCCCTTGGCTAAGGTGCTGTGTCCTTTGTCGCGCTGTCACCCCAGCTGCTGAGGATTCCTCGTGAAGACTGTGGGTGACGCCAGCAACAGGAAGATGGCAGTGGTGAGTGTGAGGCTGGGAGATGCAGGAAGCCGGGCTGTGGGCACCATGGAGCCGCTTGATGGATTCGGCCTCCGCGTGCGCTCCAGAGTCCGCGGTCGGGGTCCCTCTCGGTCCCGGTGCCCTCTGGCCGCGGGTGGGGCTGGGCCGGCACCGGAACCCTGTCCCGTCGGTCCCTGCCCTGCGTCTCTGGGCAGCTCCGCCGCCGCGCGCGTGTTCCCAGACTGTGCGGCCGGGGGGAGGTGGCGGGGACCTGGCGCGCGTGGGGACCTGAAGGGGTCAGGGGCGCGAGCTCCCGGCGGAGGCGCGGGCGGAGCGGGCTCTGAGGCCCGGGACGAGCGAGGTCCCGGCGCTGCCCGGAGCCCTGTGCTCCCCAGGGCGGGTCCCTCTGCGGCCAGCTCCGCCTCGCTGGGCTTTGCTTCTGCGTGGAGGCCTTGTCTGACCTCGGGCACGTCTGGAGTTTTCCTTCTTAAATATGCCCAACCTTTATTTTAATTTTCTTAGCATTTGGCGCTTTTATTCTCCTCGGTCGTTGCGTGCCATTTTCATTTGGGGGGTGGGGAGATAATCATTACAAGATTAGATTCCATAAAACGTGAAAATTCTGCACAAATAGAATTTTTGTTCTTTTAAGGATAGAACCTCAAGACGAGATCGTAGTGTTTAGGATCTCACGTGCACTTTATACATTTTCTGTTTTCTCCTTGCTTTGTTTTGTGCCAGGGATTGAACCTAGGGCCTCCCACGTCCTAGGGAAGCTCTGTGTAGCAGTGACACTCCCCCCCCCCCCCCCCGTATTGATCCCAGGGCCTTCACACCGAGCTTCCCCAGTTCTCTTTTTATTTTACATTTTGAGACAGGGCCTCCTAAAGTCTCTAAATTGTCCAGGATGGCCTGGAATTTGTAATCCTTCTGCCCCTCAGTTTTGCAGAGTGCTGGGATTATAGCATGAGCCACCACGCCGGGCATGAACACCTAATTTGGTTTTTTGTTTTTTTTTTGGTATCAGTGCTGAGCTTGTGCTTTCGAGGCAGGCGGCGCCACCACTGAGCTAAATCCTCGGCCCTGAAGGCCTAATTTGTAATAATACCAGGAGTCGGGCATAGTGGTGCACACCTGTAATCCCACCCCTTGGGAGGCTGAGGCAGGAGGATAGCTGGGAGTTGGAGAACAGCCTGCACTATATAGTGAGTTCAAGAGGAGCCTGAACTGCGTAGTGAGAACGCGTCTCAAACAAACAAACAAACACACACACACACACACACACACACAACAAAAACTAACACAAAAGAAGACATGAAAGCTACCAAAGTTAAATATTCATCTTTGGACATTATGATATTTTAAAGGAGTTGATTCTTAAACTCTGATGTATAGTATGCTACTGAAATGGAAAAAACAAAAGACAAAGAGTAGAGACTGACAGAGTCAAAGCTTGGCAGAGACTGAAAGTCTCAAGGCTGACAGTCTAAATCTTTCCCCTCCTGCTAAACCCACGAAGGTCACTGTGCCTGGAAGATGAACTGCTGAAACACAGCTGCCTACCTCTCTGTGTCTTAAAGATAAATTGTAAAAATAACATTACCTCTACCTCCCTACCCTTTGCTAAGTTCTGCTTCTGTAAAATTCTGCTTGCTCCGCTCCCCACCCCGGCTAAAGAACAGATAAATGTGAGAAGAAACTTAGAAATGGGGCTCAGATTCTGGAAGGCGACTTCCACCGGCCTGCTACCTAGCAAATAAACCTGCCTTTCCCTTCAATTCTCTGAGTGCCCTCGGAGTGCCACTTCATTACCAGTTCATGATAATATGTCCCAGTGTTAGATATAGTGGAAGGAAAATAATGATGCTCTTTGTGATTTTATTTTTCAAGGCAGGAGGCAGAACCACTGAGCTAAATCCCCGGCCCTGTGATTTTCTTTTTAAGTAAAGTTTATTTTATTTAAAATTTTTATTTTAGTATGTGTTTGCAGTATATAATGATTACACTCATTGTGGGGATCTTTGTTATTTTAGTCAGAAAGATACTTGATACTGCTCTTATTTTCTGTAGTTCATAACTTTTAGTGTTTTATTTTTTAATTTTTTACTTTTTTTTGGTACCGGGGATCGAACTCCGGTCCTTGAGCTTTCGCAGCAGGCGGCGAAACCACTGAGCTAAATCCCCGGCCCCACTTTTAGTGTTTTAAAGAATAAAATCTTAGAACAATTTTCTCTACAGAAAAGTTGAATTTAACAGCAAAAGTAAATTCATCAGGAATGTTATCAAAAGAGTGTGGCTTAAGTAAATATCTATTTTACATAAATAATGCAGGCAAAACTTTTCAAAATATGCAGAACAGAACAGTCTGACTTCTGCAGACTCATTGTCAACAAAATACCTTGGTCCATTACAGGGCAAGGGCATTAGGCAAACCCAAATACACACTTCAGACAATTTCTACCCCCCCCCTTTTTATGGTGAAAATAATGTGTTTAGAATTAGCCAGCTGGACTCAGTTTAGATGATCCCAATTTTGTTGGCAGCATCCAAAGCATCATCATCAGGAGCCAGTAGGACATATACCTTTTTCTCTCCATCAGGCCCAATTAGGCTATTGACCTGGGCCACATCAATGTCACAGAGCTTCTTCACAGCTTGTTTGATCTGGTGCTTGTTGGCCTTGACATCCACAATGAACACGAGTGTGTTGTTGTCCTCTATCTTCTTCATGGCTGACTGTGGTCAGGGGAAACCTTGATGGTGGCGTAGTGGTCAAGCTTGTTTGTACTGGAAGCGCTCTTCCGAGGGTATTTTGGCTGCCGCCGGAGCTGCAGTGTCTTGGGATGGTGGAAGGTGGGTGACGCGCAGATTTGCTTCTTTTTGTGCCTGTGGATGCCTTTCAGCAGTGCTTTCTTGGCTTTCAAAGCTTTTGCTTAGGCTTCAGCTTTGGAGGGGCAGGAGCTTCCTTCTTTGCCTTCAGCGCCATCTTGGTAAAAAAGGCTCCCTTTCTTTTTGGAGTGGGGTTTTATTTTGGTACCGGAGATCGAACTCAGGACCTTGCGCTTGCCAGGGAGGTGCTGTGGTGCTGAGCTAAATCCCCAGCCCCTGGAGTGTTGATTTATTTAACCCAGTGCCTTCACACTGAGCTATACCCCCAGTCCCTGATTTTTATTTTGAGACAGAGACTGGCTAGTTCACTAAGTTGCCCACTCTGGGCTTGAACATGCAATCCTTTTGTCTCAGCCTCCCAAAGGGGTGGGATTACAGGCATATACCACCATGCCTGGCTAGATAATTTCTTGAGCTACCTCTTATTTTATTATATCAGAATGAGGAAGCTGAACATGGCACATGGCACAACTTGGGAGGCCTTGGGAGGAGGATTGCATGTTTGAACTATTTTGGGTTTCAGAGGAAGTTTGATGTCAGCCTGGAGTATATGTATAGCCAGGCTATGTCTTCAAAACAAAGCAAAACACAATGCAACACCTCAAACCTGTACATGGTGGTACACATCTATACTCCTGTACTCTGGGAGGCTGAGGCAGGAAGATTGTATGTTGAAGTTCAGCCTGGACTTTAGAGCAAGTTTGAGGCCTGGTTGGAGTATATATAGTGAGTCCCTGTCCTCCCCCCAAAAAAACAATCCTAGAAAAATGAACCCCACAAAACCCTCAGATGGTGGGACATGCCTATATTCCCTGCACTCTGGGAGGCTGGGGGAGGAGGAACACAAGTTTGAGCCCAGCCTGGACAATTAGTGGTTTAGTGAGACCCTGTCTCAATGTAAAACATAAAAAAAGGGCTGAGGATATAGCTCATTGGGAAGGCAGTGCAGTCAGTCACCAGTACAATATACATACAGGTATACACACACACACACACACAGCCACACACAAAAGCATGGTAGTTTACTGATACATTGCTTGTTCAGTGTGAGGAAGTCCTGTGTTCAGGTGTACCCAGCACTGCAAAACCTCCTTTCTGTGATGCTGAGGATAGATTTCAGGGCTTCCCTGAACCAGCCCCTAGTAATTTGTATCTTATTTATTTATTGGTACTAGGGATTGTACTCAGTGCCTTCACACTGATCTGTATCACCAGCCCATGTTTATTTTTGGTACTGGGGATTGAACTTGGGTCCTTGTGCTTGCTGGCAGGCGGCAGAATCACTGAGCTAAATCCTCAGCCCCATTTTGTTTTATTTTGAGATCGGATCTCCTTAAGTCATTAAGCTGTCCAGACTGCGTCAGCTTCCCAGAGTGCTGTGATTGAAGGGATCTCCCACCTTTCTGGAATAATCTGTATCTTGTCACTTTTTCTTTGAGGCTTTCTTTCTCTCTAAATTGCCCCAGCTGGTTTTGAACCTTGAAACCCTGGAATCAAGTCATCCTCCCTGCTGAACCTCCCGAGCAGCCAGGAGAGCAGGCTCATGCTGGCGCCTTTGCCTCTGTAGTTTTTTATTCTTTCAGGTAGCTTCACATCTGACCAATTTATTGGTTTTTTTTTTTCACTACTAGCACTTGATTTTTGTTGTCTGAATTTATTTCTTTCTCTTTTGTGTATTTTCTGGGTTTATTTGGCTCCTGTTCTCCTTCAGCCTCTCACTGGGTTTTAACCCAGGGCTTTTGCACTGGAGGTATATCGCCATCTCTTCATTTTGAGACAGGGTCTCCCAAATTTACCCAGGTGGGATTTGAACTTGTGATTCTTTTGCCTCAGCCTCACAGAGTGCTGGAATTACAGGTATGCACCTCCACTCCTGGGTGTTTGCTTTCCTTCTCCCTCACTTCCTTCCTGGGATCAAACCCAGGACCTCTGGCTGAGCTACATCTTTAGCTCTTTTTTTTTGGTACTGGGGATCGAACTCTGGTCCTTGTGCTTGTGAGGCAGGTGGTGGAAACACTGAGCTAAATCCCCGGCCCCATCTTTAGCTCTTTTTAAAGTTTTAAATTTTGAGATAGAATCTTACTGAGTTGCCCAGGCTTGGCTTGAGCTTGTGATCCTCTTACCTCAGCCTCCCAGAGTGCTGGGATTACAAGTGTGCACCATTGCTCCTGGTTCTGCTTTTTGTTTTCTAAGGTAGACACTGTGATTATTGGTATAGATGTCTGTCCTTTGCCAGTGTAAATGTTCAATAGCATAAATTTCCCTATAGTCACTGCTTTTGCTGGATTCGAAGAATTATAGTGTTCTACTTTCATTTTACTCTGCTCTTGGATATTCTGTTCTTTGTTCTTTTTTATTTGTTTGTTTTTAGTTTTGTTTTTTTGAGACAGGGTCTCCCTATGTAGTTCAAGGCTGGCCTTGAACTCACTATGTAGTCTTGAACTTGCAGTGATCCTCCTGCCTCAACCTCCCAAGGGGTGGGATTACAGGTATGCACCACCACGCCCAACTGAACCTAGGGTCTTTGCACTGAGCTACAACCCTATCCCTTTCAAATAATTTTCTTTCTTTATTTTGAGATAGGACCTCACTGAGTAACTCAAGTTCTGTTTGAACTTGTGACTTTCTTGCTTCAGCCTCCTAGAGTACTGTGATTATGTATTTCTTAGAATTTTCACATCTCTGCTTGAAATTATTTATGTGTTCTTACATACTTTTTACTATTAGATCCCTTAGCATATTCAACTTTTCAAGATTTGTTTATTTCTGTAATCTGATGGTTCTAGCATCTCTTCTACATCTGAGTGTGGTTCTGCTGCTTATCTTTTTTCTTCAACTGTGCTTTAAAAATCTTACTCTGTCTCCATTTCTTTTCATTGAATATTGGACATGATGTAGTTGTGAAAAGGAAGTGAAGAATCTCAGGCCTTTTGTGTGAGAATTTAGGATGATCCTTCTGGGTTTAGGCTGAGTTAGTTTTCACAGTAGCTGACAACATCAGAGGATAAATTTCTTCTGCTTTCTTTGCTTTGATATCTGGGTGTCCATAAAAACTTATTTTTTTTCAGTGGTACTGGGTCCTTTACTGGGCTACATCCTAGCCTTTCTTAAATTTAAGTTTAAAAATTTTAAATTTTGAGGCAGGGTCTTCTTGCAGAGTAACTTAGTTGCCCAGGTTGGGCTTGAATTTGAGTTCTTCCTGTTCCACACTTCCAGAGTCCTATGATTATAGGTGTGGGCCATCACACCTGGCTCTATAAAGGCACTGAAATCCTGATAGGTATAGAAAGAAATGATACAATCTTTCATTATATTCCACTATTAGTAAAATGAAATCCTAATAACATAATGGAAAGATATGGAAGCATCATTTGGGGTAATGCCTGCCAGACTCATAAGGTTCAGAGAGGAGGATCACAAGTTTAAGGCCAGCCAGTACAGTATAGCTCACCTTTGTCTGAAAATAAAATTTAAAAATAAAAGAGCATGCAAGTGCATGGTCCCGAGTTCGATTCCCGGTACCAAAAAAAAAAAAAATAAATAAAAGAGCAAGGGCTGGGGATTTAGCTCAGTGGCTCTGCTGCCTGCCTTGAAAGTGCAGGGACCCGAGTTTGATCCCTGGTACCAAAAAAGAAAAATAGAAGAGTGAGTATTCAGTGGTAGAGTTCTTCTCTAGTGTGCGGGACTCTGTTGGTTCAGTGCTAGGATTAGCAGAGAATAAAGGTGAGATGTGGATCTATGTGGGGGGATTGAACCCTAGGCCTTCCAGCTAAGGAAGCTATACTTGAAGATGCAGAGGGCTGTGTTTTTTTTTTTTTTTCCTGGTACTGGGGATCGAACTCAGGACCTTATGCTTGTGAGGCAGGCATGGTGCCACTGCACTAAATCCCCAGCCCTCCGGAGGGCTGTTTTTATACAGCTAGATAGATTTGAGGTTTTGGGTATATGTGTGTGTGTGTGTGTGTGTGTGTGTGTGTGTGGTGCTAGGGTATATCTATGTTCACTGGAAGAACTGATTTGATATAAAAAATATATGTGCTGTATAAAGGGTTTGTTAAGTAGGCTTATAGTAGCTGCCTGCGTAATCAGGGCTGGAAGAATGCAAAATGGCTGTCTTCATGCTGGAGAGCTGGAGGATCCAGTCAAAGGTCAAAGACCTGGAGTTCACTGCAGTCTTGCACAAATCCATGTTGGAATCCTGAAGGGTCTGCATTGGAAGGCTGAGGAGTGTATACTGGAAGCCTGCAGCAACTGGAGACAAATGTCCAAAGGCGATGAAGACCAGAGCTCCTCCAAAGAAGCAAAAGGGAAGACTTCCTTCTTCTTTCCCTTTTTATTCCATCCAGGCTATAAGCCTATTGGTTGGTGCCACCCACATCTAGGGTGGGTCTTCCCTCCTCAATTTGTAGCGTACATGTCAGTCATCCACATATACATCCAGAACTGTGCTCCACTAATCAGCTGTGTGTTTGTTAATCCATTTAAATTGATATATCACAATTAATGATCATATAGGGATTGAACCCAGGGCCTATTGAACATGCTGTGCAAGCATCTACTGGTGATTTATACCCTCAGCCTTCTTTATTTTGAGATGGATCTCTTTATTTTACCTAGGCTGGCCTCAAACTTGGAATCTTCCTGCCTCAGCCTGCCAAATAACTATGACAACAGGCATGAGCCACTAGGCCTGGCTCTGAGTATTTGTAAAGGCATGGAATACCTCTGGGCAATCCAGTTTCTTGTTATATCTTGAATATCCCCTGGCATCCTGGCCTCTGATTTTTTTGATGGGAATGATTTTAAGAGTATATTTATGCATTAAAACAATATTCTCCTGGGCCAGGGATTTAGCTCAGTGGTTCTGCTGCGTGCCTCGAAAGCACAAGGTTGTGAGTTTGATGCCCAGTACCCCCAAAAGAGCAAAAACAAAAACGAAAACAAAAAAACCCAGTATTCTGCTTTGGTTGTGTTTTATGAAATATGAATTGATAGTGCATATTAAGGTACAAAATGATAGTTTTTTTCTCCAAGTACTGGGGATTGAACTGAGCTACATTCCTAGGCCTTTTAAATATATTTTTTTAAGTTTTGAGACCAGATCTGGCTGGTTATGTTGGTCTAAATTGTGAACTTCCTAGCCAGGTGTGGTGGTGCGTGGTTGTAATGCCAGCACTTGGGAGGCTAAGGCAAAAGGATTGCTGTGGGTTCAAGGCCAGCCTGAACTACAAAATAAGACTTTGTCTCAAAAAAAAAAAAGTTGTAATTTTCTTGCCTCAATCTTTCAGATTGTGATTACAGGCATGTGTCACTAAACCCGTCCTGAAAATAATAGTTTATGTAATAAGGAATTGGTTGCTTTTAATTTCATTTCTTTGAAACACATTTGTCACATTGCTTCAAGGTGAATTTGGTGCTACTAGTAGACAGCAGTAAGATATGTAGAGGATTCCGGTGCCTGCCTCGCAAGCACAAGGTCCCGAGTTCGATCCCCGGTATCAAAAAAAAAAAAAAAAAAAAAGATAGGTAGAGGTGAAAATACAGAAATCAGCTGGGCATGGTGCCACATGCCTGTAATCCTAGTACTCTGGAAGGCTGAGGAAGGATGATTTCAAGTTTAAGCTCTGCCTTGCAACTTAGTGAGGTCTGTCTCCAAATAAAATAGCCTAGAAATGATGCTTAGTGCAAAGGTCCTGGATTCAGGTGACAGTTCTGCAAAACAAACAAAAAACCCCAAAACATACAAAATATAGAAATAATTTTTCTATGTTCATGACTGCTAAATTTTATGAGAAAGTGAGATTTGGTGTTCTGCCAACAGTAAATATTTGGACACCCCAGAGAAGTTATGGGAACATCTTGAGGAATTGAGGATTGATCCTCAAAGCTGTCAGTCTCACCATCCTACTGTGCCGTTTGTGGGATGTTTTAGGACTCAGTGGACTTTGAGGATGTGGCTGTGAAGTTCACCCTGGAAGAGTGGGCGCTGCTGGATCCTTCACAGAAAAGACTCTACAGAGATGTGATGAGGGAAACCATCAGGAACCTGACTGCAGTGGGTAAGGATGATGTCATTCCTTCATTCAGGGAGTTACAGAACAAGTGTTTCATGCTCATCAACTGTGTCCCAAGATTTTAAAGGTGGAAAATGTACTACTCTGGTGACTAAATCATGCCAAGTCATATTGAAGCATGTACCTTCAGTGTCATACATTTTCTGTAATACCAAATTTATGACGACTTGTTTCTGGATGTGAATTTTAGGGAAAATATGGAAAGACTGGAACATTGAAGATGATGATCAAAATGTGAGGAGAGATCTGAGGTGAGTTGTACTCATAAGAGTATGTAGTGGCCTCCTAGGGCATTTTCCTGTATCATGACATTTCAAGTATAAGCAAGCTAAACAGTAAGCCCAGCTTCTAATTGATTTGTCAAAAAGTTTCCCCTAAGATATTGACTAGCTGGGTGCTGTGACATATGACTGTAAACCCAGCTTCTTGGTATGCTTAGGCAAGAGGATTGAAATTTTGATTCCAGCCTCAATAACTGGATATCCAAGATGTAATAAAAATTTGTGGGACCCTGTATCAAAATTTTAAAAATTAAAATAAAGGACTGAAGATGTAGCTCATTTCAAAGGCTTTGGGCTCCGTATTTAGTAACACACACACACACACACACACACACACACACACACACACACACAAAGAACCATTTTATAGATGTTCAGGATGTGAAATATAGCCCACTGGTAGTATTGGCACCTATCTGTAGTCCACCACTTTTGGAGGTTAAGCCCAAGGATGAAACATTTTAGCCCAGCCTGGGCAAGTTAGTGATTTAATGAGCTCCTGTCTCTAAAATTACAATATGTAAAAAGGCCTGAGGACACAGCTAAGTCAAATGGCCTGTGTTCAGTCCTTCATACTGGAAAAAACAAAAAAGTGTCAAACCTTATATATAAATATTAGTGTTTTCATAATGAGAGCCAAATACTTCCTTGAGGCACTCCATACATTCATTTTACAATGTTTAGACAGGGAAGAAAGCTGGCGTATTTCCAGAGAGTGATTAAATGGTGATTCTGATACCTATTAAAAATAAGAAAATTTTTAAAATGCCATTGAAAATGTGCTATTTGTTCTTTACAGAAGCTATATGGTCAAGCGACTGTGTGAAAATAAAGCAAGTGTTCAGTGTAGAGAAAACAGCAGAATATCAAATCTGAGTCTTATCAAGGAAACTCACACCTGTGGAGCATCATGTAAAGGCAGCTTGTGTGAAAAAACCTTCATGTATCCAACATTCCTTAGTAAGCACCTCAGATCACATCCTGGTTGCAGACCATACAAGAGTCAGAAATTTGGAAAGAAGCCATACGAATGTAAGGAATGTGGTAAAGCATTCATTTATCACCAGTGTCTTCGGAACCATGAGAGTACTCACACTGCAGAGAAACCTTATGAATGTAAACAGTGTGGCAGAGGTTTCACATTCCTCAGTTCCTTTCAAAAACATGAAAGAAGTCATATAAGGGAGAAGAGCTATCAATGTAAGGAATGTGGGAAAGTCTTTTTTAGTCGCCAAACATTTAAGGTACATATGAACATACACACTGGAGTGAAATTCTACCAGTGTAAGCACTGTGGAAAACCCTTCCTATATTACTCATCATATAAAACTCATGAAAAGAATCACACTAGAGAGAGATCTTCTGAAGGTACACAATGTGGTGAATCCATCAGTGTCCCAGTAAATCTGCAATATCATGAAAGCACTCATGCTACAGAAAAATTTTGTAAATGTACAGTATGTGGTAAAGACTTCACATGTCCACATGTCTTTCGATTGCATAAAAATACTCATACTGGAGAGAAACTTCATAAATGCCAGGAATGTGGGAATTCCTTTGTTTGTCTTACAGGGCTTCAATGTGGGAAGGCTTCCAGGACTTCATGCTTCTGTGAAGTACATGGAAGAATTCATTCTGCAGAAAAACCTTACACCTGTAATCAATGTGGCAAAGCATTCAGGGATTCTAATACCCTTCAAGATCATGAAAGAATGCATAGTGGAGAGAGACTCTATCAGTGTAAAATGTGTCATAGAATCTTCAGTAGTTTAAGCTCAGTTCAAGTTCATGAAAGAACTCACAGTGGAGAGAAACCCTATGAATGTGAACAGTGTGGAAAGACCTTCACTCGTTCCAATGTCCTGCGAATGCATGAAAGAATTCACAGTGGAGAAAAACCCTACAAATGTGAACAATGTGGAAAGGCCTTTAATTATTCTCATTCTCTCC